AAATTATTATAGTAATAAATTACTGATACTCTGTTACACGCAAATAGCAGATAAAAGTAAAGTAAAGTTACAGTAAAGTAAAAAATACAGTAAAGTAAGTTACTATATACGTCCCACTACTGGGCACAGGCCTCCCCTCATTTCTGAGGGGGTTTTAGGGCAAGGAAGTGTCCGCCGCGCTGCCCTAATGCGTGTTGGCGAACTTCACATGTCTTCGAAATATTTTTTTTCTTATTCCTCAGACATGCAGGTTTCCTCACGATGTTTTCCTTCACCGCCGAGCGCGTGGTAAATCAGCACTTAAAATTGAAATTAACAATTTCATTGGTGCCGGCGGGGTTCGAACCCGGGTTAGTCGCGTTCTGTTATATTTTACAGCGACCGTTAACCATCTGAGCTACCAAGGCTCTTATAAATAAATATTAAATAGCAGATATATGAAAAAAATTAAAATACCGTATTATAATAATGTAAGAACTATGAAAACAGGTAAATAGCGGATAAGAATATATTACCCCATATAATTAGTTTCGGTGTGGAGCGCACGTTGAGCCGTATTCGTGCTAGGTATTTATTGGCCAGGTATGCGCACGTTCATAACTAAATATATAAAGTAGTGTGTGCCTTGCCAAAGGTATAAAGCTAACCATCGCAAACCACTATATAAAGTAGTGTCCGTAGACTTAATTGGTTCGCTGGTAGAGACACCGAGGAAGAACAGGTGGGAGTTATTCGTAGAGGATATTTAATAATAATAATAATAATAATAATAATAATAATAATAATAAGCCCCCTAAACAACCACACGTCCTGATTGACCATCTAATCACGTGGGGGGCGGACACACGAATGAGAAAATACTGGCGTGGCTAACGTGGCTCTGGAAACCCATAAATAAAATGGAGACTCGTTCTAAAAGTAAACGTATAGGGCCGCTACCCGGGGGCGATCGCCGGGGTGCACCTGGAGCTGACGCTGGGTGTCACAGCATGCGATCCGTCAGCGGTGAGGAGTTGAACAGGCGGGCTCCCACCCACAAAGATACTACAGCCGAACTCATTGACGATGGTGACAGACTGACGGACAGGACAGACACCCCTGTAGAACCATATAGTCCAAGCACAGTATCATACACACCCTCGAGGCCAACATCACCATCCATACCATCGTCACCAACACCTCCATCACCCCCTATTACTAGTTTAAATACAGTTCCACCTACTCCGACCTTGAGTGCTGCGCGGGAGGTATCTACCTTCTTACCCGCGTCCACCAAGGCTGGAAAAGCAAGAGTTCGAATGAAATGGAGTAAAGAAGTAAATCTATTTATCATGAGAACTTATCTATACATTACTAAATTAGAGACCGATATGACCACGTACAGACAACAATTACACGCACATTTCACTCGACAATATCCAGAAATTACTGTTTCAGAACAAAGAATCTCAGACCAAAGAAGAACCATAGTTAGGAATAAACTTCTATCCCAAGAAGTTATAAATCAATTAAAAGAAGAAGTACGAACACAATTAATTCAAGAAGAAGCGACTCACAGCTATGTAGAAACTAATATCACACAAAACACAAGTGAAAATGATCGCCAAGTACAACCACAATTGCTCAGTCAATCACAACTCATTCACACACAATCTCAGCCATGCGACCATTCACAAATATGCACACAAATATACACACATCCACACAAACCGAAACCGTAATCCTAACGCTAGAAAATGATATTGAGACCATAGTTGTCCCAGATCAACACTTAACAACAGATACATATATTCAAGAAATTAATGAGAAATTTAGAATAACAATAACGTTATACTCTGGGATGGATCCCGCAGCGCGACCAAGATTACCCAAACTTAAGTACACACCTAACCTGTTTCGAATGGTTAATTTATTTAATGAAACTATACTCACACAACATATATCTGATGACACACAGCTTATAGACATACATTTACTTATATACTGCACAGCGGTAGTAATATCCGAAGAATTGAACTTTAAAATCACAGACAATGCAAGAACTACAAGAACAAGACAAAATACAGAACCAGCATGGCAACAGAGACTAGAAAAAGACATTGAAAAATTAAGAGCAAATATAGATAGACTCACTCAGTATATTAACGGTTGTAGATCTAATAAACTAGTCAAAAAAGTAGAGGTCATATTTAGGAATAATGCTACGCATACCAGACACGAAAAGAGTAACACAAGACCTGAAGAATATTTAGACACGTTAAAACAAAAATTAGCACTTAAAGTTCATAGGCTCAAAAGGTATATAAAAGCACAACAGCGCAAAAAAAGATAACGTAACATTTGCCACAAACGAAAAATTGTTTTATAGAAACTTACACAAACCACAAACAGACACAATCGATGAACGTAACACACATACACCTAACCTACCTACAAAAGAACAACTAGAAGCATATTGGGCGAGTATTTGGGAAGAGCAAAAACAACATAACGACAAAGCATCTTGGATAATTGAAGAGGAAGCAAAATGGAGAGATATTGACGAAATGGAATTCGAAGAGGTAACAGAGTTAGACATAACACTCATTACAGCTAGGTTACATAATTGGAAATCACCTGGTATAGACAAAATTCATAATTTTTGGTACAAAAAATTAACGTCTCTACACAAACCTTTAGCAAGAAGTTTAACAGATATAATAACAGGTCAACGGAACACTCCCGAATTTATTGCAACAGGAATTACTTATATGCTACCTAAAACAAAAAATTCACCTCAGCCTTCCCAATACCGACCAATTACATGCCTACCCACAATTTACAAAATATTGACATCTGCAATCACAAAGAAAATTCAGTCGCACATTGAACACCACAATATAATAGCAGAAGTACAGAAGGGATGTAGACAGGGCCACATGGGATGTAAAGAACAGCTGATAATTGATTCCACTATTCATAAACACGCCACCTCTAAAAATAGAAATTTACATTGCACCTATATTGATTATAAAAAAAGCGTTTGACAGTGTTCCTCATTCATGGTTATTAAAAATATTAGAAATTTATAGAATAAATCCGAAAATAATCGATTTCTTACGCCGAATAATGTTACAATGGAAAACAACACTACCAATAAATTGTAACCAAAATAATGTCACCACGCGACAAATCTCAATCACAAAAGGCATCTACCAAGGTGACTTCCTGAGCCCACTGTGGTTCTGTCTCGCCCTAAACCCTCTGTCTCATTTGCTGCAGAGCTGCGGGGCCGGATATTGCCTCAAACTTAATACAGACGAAACAACAATATCGCATCTTATATACATGGACGACATCAAATTATATGCAAAAACAGACAAGGATATGAAGAAATTAATAGATATAACAACAGAATTCAGTAGCGATATTAATATGCATTTTGGTTTAGATAAATGTAAAACACTTCACATTGTAAGAGGCAAAGTAAGGCCCGGCGACTATGTAGTAAATGAAACGGAGGCTATTACAGCAATGGAATCGACTGACTTATACAAATATTTAGGGTATGTCCAACTTAAAAGTCTTGACCACATACGAATTAAAAATTCTCTCACTACGGAATACAAGAGAAGACTTAACGCCGTTTGTAAAACTCAACTTTCAAGTAAACATCTCATCAAAGCCATTAACACCTATGCCATCCCCATATTAACGTACTCATTCGGAGTTATAAAATGGTCTAAAACTGACGCAGAACAATTAGAGCGAACTACACGTACAACACTCACGAAACACAACAACCTGCACCCTAAATCCGCCATAGAGAGACTAACAATAAAACGAGAACATGGAGGGAGAGGCCTAATAGATATCCAGCACCTATGGCGGAAACAAGTTAGTCGATTAAAATCATTCTTCTATACAAAATCCCATACTAGCAATATTCATAAAGCCATCGTAACGAATGATATTAACTACACTCCACTTAACTTAAGCAATCAGATTGAATCCCAAAACACTACCAGTGACAACCCACAGACACACAAAATTGACGAATGGAAGAAGAAAGTTCTCCACGGTCGGCACCCTCATGACTTAGAGCAATCCCACATAAATAAGTTAGCTTCAAATAAGTGGCTGAAAATAGGCAACTTATTTCCAGAAACAGAAGGATTTATAATAGCTATTCAAGACCAGATCATAAACACAAAAAATTACAGAAAATATATAATCAAAGATCCTACAGTAAATAATGACAAGTCGCAAATGCCACACACATCCGGAAACCATTCAACACATCACAGGCGCATGCACAACTCTCACACAGACTGACTACACTCACAGACACAACCAGGTGGCCAATGTCATTCATCAAAAACTAGCACTCAAACACGCACTCATTCCAGATGCCAACACTCCGTACTACAATTATACACCAAAACCTACTCTAGAAAACACCACACATAAACTTTTTTACGACCGCGGCATTCTCACCGATAGGACAATCCACTATAACCGACCAGATATAATTCTACAAGATAAACTAAATAATATTACTTACCTGATAGACATTGCAGTCCCCAACACACACAACTTACAGAAGACGATAACTGAAAAAATTAGTAAGTACGCAGAACTAAAAGATGAAGTGACTAGAATCTGGCAACAAGAAAAAGTATATGTGGTCCCTATAGTCCTCTCCACAACAGGTGTCATCCCAAATCATCTCCTCCGTAGCTTAAAATTATTACAACTAAAAGAAACTCTATATATTACACTTCAAAGCAGCTATATTAAATACATCAGAAAAGTTAGGAAATTCATGCAGATAGAAGAAAACGAAATAGGACCTCATCAAATCACATGAACTACACTACACACCACACGCTGCATTTTCTTTGGCTTCGGCCCGTAAATGTAGTTGAAATCCAGCCTAGAGCTGAGAAGTGAAAACACTTACCGTAAATAATAATAATAATAGCGCATAACGCTATCCGTCGACAGATGAAACCGTCAGGATGGCGTTTGCTAGGACAAATGTCAGTTTGTCCCAGCCGGATATAACGCAAAAAATGACGGAGAGCATAGATGATCTGAAGCAGAGAATCGCTGCTTGGGGAAAACGGATTCGGCGATATACCGAGAGGTCGACACGGTTCAACCAGAATCGTCTCTTCCAGAGTGATCAGAAGAGGCTCTATGAATCATTGGAGCGACCAATGGTAAGTGGAACGGGTCCAGCACCGAATCAGGCCGACACTGTAGCATTCTGGCGCGGCCTGTGGTCAGAGCCCGTAAACCACAGCGAGGGCCCTTGGACGGAAGTTGTGGCGAGTCAGTGTGCGGGTATTACGCCCATGGACCCCGTCATCATAACGCCGGATGACGTAGCTGAGGCGGTCCGTAGGGCCCCGAACTGGAAAAGTCCGGGGCTTGACGGGCTGCATCACTACTGGCTGAAGGGGTTCATGGTGTGTCACTCTGTGCTTGCCCGACAGTTTCAAGAGGCTCTCAACCAGAAGTCGCTCCCAAGCCTCTTCACTACTGGGATCACTCATTTGGTTCCTAAAGACCAGGGTACCACAGACCCGAGCAAATACCGCCCCATCACGTGTCTACCGACCATATACAAGACACTAACATCCATTTTGAGCGCGAGAATCACTTGTCACCTGGACTCAAATCAGGTGATGTCGCGCGCTCAAAATGGATGTCGGGGCGGTGGTCGTGGAACCAAGGAACCACTCCTCATTGACGCGGTCATTGGCAAAGTGGTGAAACGCAACCGTCGGAACTTCTCCGCCGCCTGGATAGACTACAGAAAGGCATTCGACTCGGTGCCCCATACATGGCTAAAGAGAGTCCTCGAGCTGTACAAGATAGACTGTACAGTTAGAGACTTCCTTGAGCAGTGTATGGGGTAGTGGAGTACGATCCTTTGTCATCTGGGCGAGCGGATGATGGCTGCGGAGAACCACATAAGGATAAGAAGGGGTATCTTCCAGGGCGACTGTCTGAGTCCAATCTGGTTCTGCCTCTCTCTGAACCCTCTCAGTACCTTACTGGAGGGCTCCGGGAGGGGATTTCAGCTACGGAGAGGAGGGACAAAAGTGACCCACCTTTTCTATATGGATGACCTCAAGTTATTCGCCTCCAGTCGCTCCCATCTTATGGAATTGCTAAACATCACTTGTGAATTTAGCAATTCCATTAGAATGGAGCTTGGGACGGATAAGTGTGCGGTCCTCCATGTTGAAAGGGGAAGGGTTGCTAACTCTGAGGGCGTAGACTTATCTATGCCCGTCAACTTAAGGACCATTTCCGAGGCTGAAACATACCGATACCTGGGTATGTCACAGAACATCGGTATCGATGAGACTGGTATGAAACAGTCAGTTTGCGACGTGTTTTATGCACGCTTGACCAAAGTGCTTAACAGCCTTTTGTCCGGTGTGAATAAGGCACACGCATATAACGGCTGGGTCATGCCTGTCCTCATGTATACCTTTGGCATACTCAGGTGGACTCAGACTGAACTTAACGCCCTGGATAGAAAAGTCCGCACTACCATGACGTCCCATAGGATGCATCATCCGGGATCGTCGGTAATGAGGCTGTACTTGTCGCGGAAGCATGGTGGTCGTGGCTTCTTGAGCGCGCTCACCATGCATAATCGCGAAGTGTGCAGCCTCCGTGATTACTTCCTGGCGAGATCGGATGATCCATTCTATATGGACGTCATTTCTTGTGATAAAGGACTTACCCCTCTATCCTTAGCCAACGAGCAATGGCAGGACCCGGCAGTGCAGAGCATTTCCGACCGAGAGACCGTATGGAAGGAGAAGGAGCTCCACGGGAGGTTCTACAAGGCTCCACATGAGCCTTTCGTAGACACAGTAGCCTCCCTCCACTGGCTACGCTTTGGTGATCTCTTCGGGGGAAACCGAGGGTTTTGTCTGTGCAATACAGGATCAGGTTATTAAGACCAACAACTATCGGAGATACATCCTAAAGGATGGCACCGTCGACATCTGTCGAGCTTGTCGCCATCCCGGTGAGTCACTTAGGCATGTTATCTCCGGTTGTTCGGCGCTTTCTAACTCTGAGTACTTGCACAGGCACAACCTAGTAGCCAGAATTCTACACCAGGAGCTCGCTCTGAAATACGGTCTCGTGGACCGGAAATTGCCGTACTACAAGTACTTGCCGGAAGCCGTGCTCGAAAATGATCGCGCCAGGCTCTATTGGGACCGGGCCATCATCACAAACAGGACTATTCTTGCGAATAAGCCTGATATTGTGCTGATGGACCGGGCACAGTCAAGGATATTTTTGGTCGACATTACCATTCCGTATGACGAGAACCTCGTGAAAGCCGAAACAGACAAGCAAACAAAATATCTGGACCTGGCTCACGAGGTGACCGACATGTGGGGTGGTCTGCCGACCGAAATTATTCCTGTAGTTGTCTCTGCAAACGGGCTAATCCCAGTCAGCCTCTCGGGTCATCTGAGGCGGCTGGGACTACGTGGCGGACCGCTCCAGGTTCAAATGCAGAAGGCGGTGCTCCTCGATACCGCCCGCATCGTCCGCCGGTTTCTTTCCCTTTCCCCCTAACCCTCGGCCGTTTGGTCTCCCCTGCCGAGGGCCTCCATCTGGTTGGGCTTTTATTTATTTATGTACTTTTATATTTATTTTATGTTATTGATATTTATGTATATTTATTTTTTCATTTTCATTTATAATTATATATTTATAGAACCCAACCAGATGAGAAAACTATATAGATACCCCATAATAATAATATTCCACAACTGTCACACAACGCCATCTAGTCCCAAGCTAAGCAGAGCTTGTGTTATGGGTACTAGACAACTGATAAACATACTTATATATTTCTAAATACATAAATATTATAGATAAATTACACCCAGACACAGAACAAATGATCGTACTAATCACACAAACATTTGTCCTGGGTGGGAATCGAACCCACGACCTCCGGCATAGCAGTCAGGGTCACTAACCACTAGACCAACAGGCCTGTCACAGGTTTGTTCACGCTGAGTGGAATTGTATCCAGTAGTGTATACCACCTGAGTGGAGTATGCCTAGATTTTGGTGAATGAGGTGTTCCTCCTATATGGTGTTCCTCGACGGCTCATCAGCGACAATGGCGTTAAATTTGTGAGCCAGGTAATGCAAAAGGTTTGTCATATTTTAGGGGTAAACCAAGACTACAGGAGTCTCGTAAGGGGTTTCGCAATCGCAGCACAATTATTAATAAAGCGGCGATACCAACTCGCTGTTTGTAAGAAACATTTTAAGTGCTTAACATTCTGAGGGCAGGCATATTATCAATAGCTACTGTCTTGTCTGGATCCACACGGATTCCCCCTGGCTAGATAACATGTCCTAAAAACTAAACAGATTCTCTCGCAATTACACTCTTTTCTTTTTTATAGAATAAGGATGACAAACGAGCACACAGTCCACCTGATGGTAAGTGGATGCTATGGCCTATAGATATCTACATTTATCCTCGATTGAGAATCAAAACGTATACGCATTGTCACCTCTGAGGACTATGAAAAAATGCCTTGTTTCCAGTAAAAAATGGTTTCCGGATCTTTACACTCACCATAAGCAACACAGCGGTATTAAGCTGCTATTTTACGCTAGTATTCTGTAAGATCTCTATTCACTTTTAACTTAAACATCAAGGATCACAATCAAGGATCGCCTCCAAGTCCACGTGTCTCTCAAAAAGTCCTGGTGATAGCAAAATCGGTCCATCAACTTCTGAAAGGTAGCTCCAAAATTTCGTGGTCCCATCGGCATCCTCTTAAATCAAAGGTAAATCAACCGCCGTCTTATCTTGGTCCTCTGGGCAAACACTTACCAGATGTTAACCTAAGCGAAGATCTAGAGTAGTCATATATTCACTGGTCTTGACTGCGTTTAGAATGTCTTCGATGCGTGGGAGAGGGTAACGGCCCTGCTCAGTCCCCGCGTTCAGCTTCCGGTAATCAACACAGAGCCTTTCATTACCATCCTTCTTACCCACCAATACCACGTTAGAAGCACACGGCGACTCACATTCTTCAATGAAATCATCCGCAGCAGTTTGATAAGCTCCATTACAGATGGAGCTTAGCAAACCCCCTTCTTACCTTGTGACATCCTATACATTAGACAACCAATAGGTTCTTGTTGTGAACTCACCTTTATGCGTATATTTATAAATACCATTACGCGTAAATTACGGCGCATCACTTTCAATTTAAGTATTGAGTCTATTCTATTGTTTTTGAGTTAACTTAGATCCTTCGTCCACGCGCAATGTCAGCTCAGTAGATGCGGCGTCCATTAAATCCGTTCCAGCAGAGTCAAATGTGCATAAACAAATTTATACCACTGTCCGGTAAAAACTATAAATGTCGAAGTGCCCCAGGCAACATTTATAACCATACCAGCTCGAGTCAAGAAATCTATACCTAGAAGTAGTTCTAGTGTCACTATCAGGCAACACTAGTAACTAACATATTACACTATGCCCTTCGATATCTATACTTACATCGGCTGTCAATAGGTCTCTCCACCCTTGTGTACCGTCAGCCAGGTGTAAAAATCGTTTTACTTTACTGAAGTGTATTTCTAACTCTATTAAAATTTGATATAATAAAGGACTAGCAATACTATGCGTAGTACCTGTATCCACTATTGCCACTCCGCTACGGCCCATAACCGATATATTAACCATCGGATAAGATTCACGCGCACTCACATTATTTAAGTTAATAAATGAGGTACTGGTACTACTTGTATTTCTATTATTATTAATAAAATTATCGTGACAATAGGTATCTACATCAAAATTATGGAACGAAGTTTTATCGTCCAATTTCAATAAAGTTTTCACACAAATATCGCATTTCGACCTCACAACACCTTCCTTACTATACCCATAACAACATACACCCTTACGTGAGCTATCGCTATCCAAATGATTATAACTATTATTAATTACATTCTCACGATTTCGACATTCTTCATTAATGTGACCAAATAACTTACAATAACTGCATCGAGGCCTATTTTTTTTTGTTATTTCTACGCAGTGTATTTGCGTTCGTGGTGTCTAAGCCCGATTGTGTGAGATCGCGAACGGTAAGAGTAATAACTGATATGAATTATTGTTATCCTTACTTGACATAATGGTTTTGTACATATCCACCACGATCCTCGTTTTAGATATTAAATCATCGAAATTACGAACATTATCGCGGGAGACTCTTTTTATGATACGTCGGTGTGATAACCCGTAACAAATATCAACTTGCACTATTTCACCGATATTTTACGGTAATTTTGCAATTAATGCTCGCACTTTACGCAAAAATGACTCCGCCGTAGAGCCTGATGTGCGTGTTATGCCACGCCATAGGCCGCGCGTAGGTGAGCAACCGAGTCTGCTCATGTTGACACCGACGCCTTAACACCGCGCCACCATACTGCCGCTTTCCCCTCCAGCAACATCGGCAACTCACGAAGTGTGAGCCCGTTACTCACAGCCGTACATTCCTTAAATGTCTCAACGGCATCCAGGAACGCTTCTAATACCTCGGTATCCTGGGCGACCCGTCGAAACGCGACGTGTATTTCGTAAAATTGGCATCGACACTCGCGATGCTTATATTATTTGTTCAAGCCACGATTGGGGTGGAGGCCCTAAATTGGCCGCTGGACGTCATCAGAGAATTGACAAGGATCCTATTTGCTTCCGCGTGATTGTCTCAATCGTTGTGGATAGGAACTGTTCGGAGATCTGGGGTACTGATTGCTTTGTCGATTTCAAGCCGACACTCGACGGGGTTCTCCTCTCTTTCGGTGCGTGCGACATCATCTTCCCCTCGTTGTTAACGGAACGCTTCGCCTTTAATCTTTATCGGCATCTTCACACCCTTGTGACGATAACATTAAGGTTGAATGTCCGTGTTTCATTTAATCAAGGTATAAGTATAATGTAGTCACGTAGACATTGGATTATAGTTCATAAAAGTTCAAGCCCTAAGTTAATCGCTAGTATTAAACTACACAACACACAGTCTATAAAAACATAAGAAATTTATTCTTACATAGCTAAATTTTGAAATATAATAATAATTACGACGTTTATTATAATAATAATTATTACGTTTAACAAGGATGCTTTGGAAATGGCGTGCACTGAGAGTCGCGGAGGATTTCTCGTGTGACGTCTTTATGCAGGTGGCGCTCGCGGCTCTCTGTCTTCGTCTCTGCTCACGCCACCCCATTGCCAACTGCTTGCGAGTGACGGGGAAGGGGGAGGGCTACCACAATTTACACGGAAGTGGCGTAGCCACGTCTAAATAAATTAAGACATGATTACTTTTATTTATTTATTTTATTTTATTTATTTATACCCGCGTTAGAGCTGCTACTTATACAACCACTCACCGCTCACTTAGCGGTCAGCCACCTTAGATTTTACTTCATCTAGGGAAGACTAGTGTATATTTCCTAGTGTATGGTTTTGGCAGTAGTGGTGCTATGATTAGTGATGACGGAGATAGTGCAAGAAATTTATGAAGGGCAGAAGTTTTTTACATCTTTGATATTATGGATTTCCGCATACTAACGCCTAATTATATTAATAATATTATATTTGATAGTATTAAAATTGAAATAAGAATCCATAAAAATAACTCAAAATTAAATAAGGTAAATCTTAATTATGCTTTAAACTCGACGACAACCTTGTATACGTCCTAAGTGTCGTTCATATCTATTGAAAAAAGCCTGTAATGAATGGAGGTGTATTGTGGTTTTTTGATATAAAAATTGAAGGAAAAGGAGAAAGGGTGAAAAAAGGAGAATGGGTCGGCTCGACCGGGGAAGGATCACGCTCTCACAGAATACCAGCGTAAAATAGTAGCTTAATGCTGCTGTGTTTCGTATGGTAAGTGTAGAGAACCGGAGACCCTTTCTACTGGAAACGAGGCATTCCATCTTATTCCTCACAGAATGCAGACAGCGCGTCTGCATTTTGATTTGTAATCAAGAATAGATGTAGATGTCTATGGGCCACAGCAACCACTTACCATCAGGTGGATTGTGTGCTCGTTTGTCACCCTGTCCAAATAAAAATAAAATTGCATACCTACTATAAGTTTTTTACAATTAAAACAATAGCCCATGAAGTCAATACCTAATCAGGACTAGTCATGTAGGCAAGATTCTCGGTGCGTAATAAAGAATCAAGGGTCAATAAAAATGTAAGCAAAGCAGGATCAGAATAAAATCATTAAAAAAGCTGTGAATATCAAGAAAACGCAATAGTTAAACTATTAATAACAAGTAAGTGACAAGCTTATATACCCTATATATTATAGCTTATTTTCTTATTTAAATAATTTTAAAAATTGTTGGAAATTTTAAATATAGACACACAACACTAAATTATTAATGATTCAAGCATTTTCGAAAATCTTGGTGGTTTTTATTGCTTTAAAGTAGGATTTAAATAGAAAAACTGAAAATAATGGACGCTCGTGCAATGTTACGTCGGTCGATCGGATGGGACATAAATATCGGCTACAAAGAAGTCTTAATTAAAATTATTTTTATCGATTTAGCAACTCTGGGAGCACTGGCGCACTGGTTAGTACGAGTGCGACAGCCTTGTGCGCGTCACGTACCGAGTGTCTGGAATTATAATCTCAAGCTACTTTGTTGTTCTTTTGTTTGTTGCCTTATTATTTAATTTTCGTTAAGTTTTTATTGTTGAATTTTAGTTTTCATTGTGAACTTTTGTTAATCATGTCTAAAAGGGTGAAAAAACGGTGCTTAACAGTGAAACGCGGGAGTTTGTAATTCCTTGCGTCATTATTTTGAGCATGAGTGTCAAAATGGCGGACCATTATTGCCATTGTCTCAAGTGCAACAACGTGTAGCTGACGATTTGGGAATTGAATTGGCTACTGTAACACGTATATTGACTGAAAAATGTAGCAAAGAAGGTGATAAGGAGAATAAGCTATCGACTCCTAATAAAAAACGAAGGCGTATCTAACCTACAGTCGATATTGACGATTTTCTATGTGCAGCTATACGAAACCATCCTTATAAGTCATAATAAGGAAAGAATTACTCACACTTGACATGTTGCTGGGAACATTAAGAGAAGCTGGTTTATATAACGGTGGTCAAACCTGGCTGTCAAAACTATTAAATAAAATTGGTTTTCATTAGCAAAAATCAAACAACCGCAAGATTCTTATGGAAAGGAACGACATAGCACTCAAAGGATTAAATTTTTTAAGAAAAGCTAAAAAAATCTGATTGGGAGAAGGTTGTGTTTTTAGACGAAATGTGGTTGCATGTCGATAACATTTTGAAAAAAAAAAACATAGAACGATAATAAGGCCCAATTATCCACTAAAGTACCAGAAGGAAAGGGGAAGAGGCTAATAATTTGCCACGCAGGTACTGCCAAAGGTTTTGTTTTAAACTGTTTACTGGCATTTAAATCCAAAAGAACTAATGGATACCACGAAGAGATGAACTTCGAAACTTTTTCAGAATGGTTCTATAAAATGGTGGACAACCTGGACGGTCCTCATATAATAATAATAAATAATGCATCCTACCTCGAATGGTAGGTACGCAACTTGACAAGGCTCTGACTAACAAAAAAGCCGATAAAAATAGAGTGGCTCATAAAGAAGGGCGTAAATGCCGATGAGACAATGCTCAAGCTAAATCTGCTTTTGCTGGTGGCCACACACAAACCAAGGAAGCCAGTGTATTTGCTGGATGAAGCAGCAAAGCAACGTGATCACACAGTTATCAGATTGCCACCCTATCACTGTCAATATAATGCCATAGAACTGATGTGGGCACAAATCAAAATGCGTAAATATTTCTTTTTTTCTTGATAAATATTATAACATAAAATTTATTAACATTAAATAAAACTACAACATAAATAGTAAATAGTATTACTTTATTCATCACTTATTTCATTCACAGGATATGCAGCACGCAATTCTGTGCGAATGGCGAATGGTATTCGACACGCGAAGTTTTGTCTAAATGTATTCACAATGCTGTGTTGGTCCCTACTTTAACGTATGGTAGTGAAAGTTGGGTGTGGCAGAAGAAGCACGAGAGTAGAATCAACGCAGTAGAAATGCGGTCGTTAAGGAGTATGTTAGGGCTGAATCTGAACGACAGGGTAAGAAATTGTGTAATAAGAGAAGAGTGTGGTTTGCAAGATGATGTTGTGACCAGGATTAAAAAAGGAATGCTTTGGTGGTTTGGTCATCTGGAAAGAATGAATGAGGAAAGAGTGACAAAGAAAATTTATGTTGCAGAAGTGAATGGCAGAGTCGGAAAGGGACGTCCTAGGCGAAAATTTATCGACCAAATTGGCGATTTATTGAAAACGGGCAAAATTAGGAGTACCCTTAACCGACGAGCATGTATGCGTAGGTGTATGGATGTGAAGGAGGCGAGAGAGGTGTATCAGGATCGTGCCAAATGGAAGTCGAGACTACAGACTACCCCTCTGGGTGACAATTTCGTTGAAAACGAATTAATAATTCAAGTTGGAAAGGGTGAATCATAACCAATGAGAATCTTAGGTCTTCTCTTCCTTATGAAAAATGATTAAACCATGTTTTAAAGGAAAATATTTTATGTTTCAACCTTGATTTTAAATACATAACTAGTAATAAAGATAAAATAATTAAACATACATACAGTACACCATCTCATTACAGTTTCAAGTACCTATGTAAGAATGTTATTTTTTCACTACTGGACATTTTCTGTTTCCCATCACTAGACCCATCTGTCAAAAAGATCAAGCTATGTACATGGTATAGTGAATATTAGGTATATCGATACAACGGGTGCTCGTTTCAAATCGTATTAAGAATAGGTGTTTTCTAACATCATGTGATTAGTTTTGAAGTGTAAACTGTCAAGTCAAGTTTTAAAATGAAAAGACGTCCAGTGGTATGTAGCGTTCAGAAGCGAGAATTTCACAAGTGTACCGATTGTTTGTTTTAATCGATTTATTGACTTGATAAAAATGTTTATTTATTTTTTCCTTATACAAAAAAAATTATGTCCAATTGGATGCAAATAACAGTATAGTGTAGTAATAATAAGTAACAGAATTTGCATATTAGAAGAGAAGAAGCATTTTTATTATTATATTTTTTTTGATCCGAATAAATATTAAAACGAATGTATCAATTGATTTTCTAAATTGTTTCTTACTTTTATGTTTTTTTCGAATTCTAGATTATAAAACGAACCAGTATTTTGTATTTTAATTCAGAAATATTTTTTAAATTATAAACCAATTTGTTAATTTCAGGCCCAAAAATTCCATTCTCCTTCAGGCTTTATATCATTAATTATACTTCTACTATTGGTTATTTTAACTTTATGCTTGAGGATCATTTTTTCACGGAGGAGCCGTGGTAGCTCAGATGGTTAGCGCTCGCTGTAAATTTCACAATACGCGAGAAAACCGGGTTCGATCCCCGCCGGCACCAATGAAATTGTTAATTCAATCAATAAGTCAATTTTAAGCGCTGATTTACCACGTGCTCGGCAGGAAAACGCGAAGGAAAACATCGTAAGGAAACCTGCATGTCTGAGAAATAAGAAAAAAAATATTTCGAAGACATGTGAAGTTCGCCAACACGCATTGAGGCAGCGCGGTGGACTATTCCTTGCCCTAAAACCCTCTCAGAAATGAGAGGAGGCCTGTGCCCAGCAGTGGGACGTATATAGGTTGTGACTTTACTTTAACTTTTGAGGATCATTTTTTTAATGGTTTTATCTGCTTTCTGCCGATAACAAAACATTATTTAAATAAATATAAAATACTTGTCCTTTTAACTGTAACTCATATCATTACGATGACCATTATGATGAAGGTTCGGCCTTACATGGAATATTGTTCCCATCTCTGGGCTGGGGCTCCCCAGTGCCAGCTCCTTCCACTTGACCGCATCCAGCGCAGAGCGGCTCGAACGCATATTAAAGTCCACTGCTAAAATATAAAATACTCGTCCGTTCAACTGTAATGCATATTAATTACCACTATGCATAATAAAGTCCACTGCTAAACACAGGGCTTCCCATATTTGCCATAAGAAAAATGTGATTAATATTAAAACTGAGATTGCCAATCTGCTTGTCAAGCTTGGTTGGCTATCTCAGATTTTATTTTTAGTCGTTCCTAAGAAGACGGCCATCTTGTGATTTGTTTCCCTCTGTCGCCTCTTACGATACCCACAGGATGGGGTACAGGGTAGTGGATACTTACACCGCCACTATACGGAAATTCATACTTCGATCTGAATTTAATTTCAAATTATAACAATTTAAAATTATATTATTTTAGTACGTTATCAAAAATACCATTAAATAAAACTAATTTTATGGAATTTATCGCGTTTAATTTTAACTTTTCTAATTCTCGACGTTCGTTCGTATTTTTATCAGTTTATTGTACAATTAATCTCTTGAATAGTATTTATTCCCTAAATAGCTTTCATTGATACAAAAAGATAATGCTTCATCATTATCATTATCATCATTAAAGCCCCTCACAAGTCCACATCTGAACAAAGGCCTTCGCAAAGAACACCAAAAAGCACCTAAGTCACATGCATCCATAAAGTAGCACACATTATAATAATAAAAATATAAGAATTGAACATTTTAATATATCATATATATATACGAAAATGTATCTTTTATTTATTCCATTAATGTACGAATTATTGTTTTTTAATCATACGATTATTCTACCTCACCGGCACGGAAACTTGGCCAAGCGGTTATCTCGCGATAGCAAAAGCTTTAAGTGTTTCTGATGAATGTTTGTTATGCAAGTATGTCAAAAAATGTTTACCCTCAAGTTCAAGAGGGTAATTCATTATGTTTAAGTGCACCATGACGAATTCTTTAATTTTTAGTTGAATCGGGTCATTTGAGCGACTAAGTTCACATTTTAAATTTGTGTGTTGTGAAAAGTTTACTGTAAGGTTATTCAATTATTGTGATCTTGTGTCTTAATTAAATAACTAAAGGTGCTTTAAAGCCAATAAAAATGCCATTAACACCAGCACAAGTTGCACAAGCAGTAGCATTAATTGACCAAGGGCTGACACAGCGTGAAGTTGCTATTGTGCTTAACGTACCACGGTCCTCAATGCAGTATTCACTGAAACGATACCAGGAGACAGGCCGCTACACCCGCAGGCCAGGCAGTGGGGGCGTAAGGTGCACATCGGCCCGGGACGATCGTTTTATTGTTATGGAGATTTTGAGAAACCGCTACCTGACCGCTGTTGAGATACGCCAGCGGCTCCAAATCGCAAGAGGCGTTAATGTTAGTGAGCGTACGGTGAGAAGACGAATGGAGGAAGTGAATTTAAAAGCTCGTAGACCAGCACGAGGTCCAGAACTTCTCAGACAGCACCGAGTAGCCCGACTTCAGTTCGCAAGAGAACATGTCAATTGAACCCACGAGCAATGGGCTAGAGTGTTGTTCACAGATGAGTGTCGAATAGCTTTACGTGCTCCAGACGGTCGAGAACGAGTGTGGAGAAAAAGAGGAGAGAGGTTTCTACCCATTACCACCACCCAAACTGTGAGTTTCCATGGAGGCTCAATAATGGTATGGGGAGGTGTAAGTTCCGACGCACGTACAGAGTTGGTCATCGTCGATAATCGGCTTACAGCTACTCGATACATCGAGGAAGTTCTTCAGGAGCACGTAATGCCTTATTCGGGATTCATTGGACACGACCTTTTTCCTCCTCATGCACGATAATGCACGCCCGCACGTCGCACATTGTGTAGAGGAATATCTGGAAGAGGTTGGAATACAAAAATTACAGTGGCCAGCTCGTAGCCCGGACTTAAATCCAATTGAGCATGTATGGGGTATGCTCAAAAGAAAGATAAAGTCCAGCTCCAAACCGCCACAAACTCTAAATGAGCTCCGAAATGCAGCGCTGGCCGCTTGGGACAGCATACCGCAAGTTGATGTCAGAAACATCATTCAAAGCATGCCAGATCGAATGCAAGCGGTTATCAGGGCTAGAGGAGGAAACACCCGATATTAAAACTGATAGACAATAAAGAAACAGACTTAATTTTTAACTTTGTAGTGTTTTTAAAGTGACAATGGAAAGATGTTAATTTTAGTGAAAACATGTTATCTTGAAAAGAAAAATTTCGGTGAAGTAAACATTAAATTTCTATGTTCTAAAACCATTAGAGACACTTATTGAATGCATCTACCCTTAATTTACTGTTAAAAAAACGTTTCAGTGCAAATAATCAGCAAATTCACGAGTGGCCAAGTTTCCGTGCCGGTGAGGTATGATTAACAACAGTCGTTTATTATACATTGAGCTGTCAGGTGACAGTTGTTTAAATCAAAAAGAAATCGACATGTGTATTTTAGACAATGATTTCAAAAGGAAGGATAGGCCCATCTAAATATTTTACTCATAACTGTTTTATCCTATACCTTTAAACGAGCAATATATATATATATATATGAAAATGTTTTTTGTCCGTGTTTTTAGGCAATGAAATACTGTTACAATATTGATAGAATAAGAAGGTAAATTTTGACAATTTATTAACGATTACAAATAGCTTAATTGGTATATTGGGCGGTCACAAAATCGTAATACCATGGTTCGAGCCCAGACCGACCGACCGACTTTTTTAATTTTTTTTCAAGTTCCTTTCTTTTTTGAGAAAATCTATTTTTTCGAGCCCTTTTTTTAGTATTTTTAAAAACACGAAAATTATATTTAAACTAAAATTGCACTCATGATTTTTTATTCAAATAACCAGTTCAGTTTTTTCTATTATGTCGCTAAGATCAAAAAATATTCGTATTTCATCAGTATGTAATTTGTATCTAAATATAATTTCCAAAACACACGAATTAAAAAAAACCGAGCGAAAAATACCGAGCAAAGCTCGGTCAACCGGGTACTACAAGAAAAAATAGCGCATCTGTCATAATACAAACGTCATATCAA